TCTCTGCTGCTCTCTGGTTGCTACGTTTGAATTCTGGTACCGAGAAACTAATTCCAGCAAGTGTCCCCAATCACCTTTGCTAATGACCAAGAAAACAGACCTCATGGAATAAGTGTCTGCTCTTTTATATACCAGAGATGCTTGTGACACACATTATATACCCAAGAGCACATACTGTCGATAGTTCTTGCCTTTCCCCTGGTTAAATTCAGTGAACTCATGAATATTTATGAATGTTATTTATTTACTATGTGACTAAAAGGTGTGAACAGGGCTCAAACTGATTAGGACTACCGTGAGAGAGTCTTCCATTTTTTTTCTAGACTTCCTTACACTGGAATCTATGGGTGATCCCAGGAAACAGGTCTCCTCCCCAAAGTATTGCCTGTGCTAAGTAGTTGCCTCCGGATTCTGGAGATTCCTGGCTGGAAGTAAAAAAGGAAGCCTGGAAATGTGTGAAGATTGCCATCTAGTGGCTGTGATGTGAGATGTCACAAAATATCAGAAAAGCCATCTTTTTTGTTCCTCACAAAAGGCATTAACTGAGCCTAAGGATGTCATTGTCCTGACGTTTCTGGTATCTAAGGCTTCTGAAGGTCCTTCCTCAGTGAACAGCTGTGGTGGGATTTCAGCACTTGTTGGTTGAGAAGGCAGCACCGTGGGAGTGTCCCCTTTACATGTCCCCCGTTTAGCACAACTGAGTGCCCCCTTTAACACAACTGAGTAATTTACATCCTGTATGGAATGACTGAATAAACGTTGCCCTCTCTTCAGTGTCCAGGGCCTTATCATACCATCTTTTCACTTTATCTAATACTATGCTCTCCCTCGACCTGCCTGTTCAACCACGTTGGCCTTTAATTTCCTCCTGCTTCATGTGCTCCTCCTGCCCCAGGGCCTTTGCACAGGGTGTTCCTTCTCCCTGGAACACTTCCCTGCCTAGAAAACATCCTGTTAGCTCCTCCTCTGTGCGATTTCAGCTCAATCACTAGTCCCCAGTGAAGGTTTTGTGACTCTCTCTGATTGGATCAAATTCCTACCACACTATCTCTCACCTGTAACACCATGGGTGCTTCTTTAACATTTATGGGCATGATAAAGTAACTAATATGCAACTCTCCTACCATGCTGTAAGTTCCATGAGGGCAGAGACAGCTTGGAAAGTGTCTGCTATAGACACTGTATCCCTCTCATATATTAGACGCTCAATAAGTGTTTGTGAAAAAACAAATAATTGAGTGCATCTGCACGTGTATATATGCAAACAGTCCATTAGAATTTTCCAGGCAAACCTAAAGTAGGCAATGATGACATCTACCATTTTGTACCTACTATGTGCTAAGCATTGAATCTGATTCTTTATGTGTTCTATCTCATTTATTCCTGAACATGATGTTAGCATTTGTATCCTTGGTTTACAGATGAGCAAACAGTGACTCAGACAAATAACTCTGCCCATGATCAGAGAGTTATTAAATAGAAAAACTAGGATTGAAAAATCGAACGCTCTGAAGCTCATATTAAAAACTATCCCAGCATTACAAAAGAAAATCAAGCATAATACCTTTGATCCTTTTGACTATGCATGATAAACATAAAATACTGAGCAAATAAACCCTTAAAGCATGTTTCTTACTCAACTGTACATTTCTTAATGGCAAAACTATATATTTCTAAAGGGACTGTGCCTCATTCACCTCAGAAAACCCCATTACCTGGCACAGAGCATGGCACATAGTGATGCTCAATGTTTTTGTCAAGTGGCTTTAAACTTGAAACAAAGTTGTTTACATCCAAAGAGGACAAAACACATACAGCCAGAGTCAAATTTCTGCTTTGGAAAACAAATAAAGAAGAGGAGACAGAAAGGAAAGCAGACCAAGTGTAAAATACATTAAGCACCTCCTGTGGGCTGGCAGGCTATTTCAGATGCTTTTTTCAATTATCATTTTAGGTATTATCCCACCTAAACCTAAAATAACACTATGCCATCATTATGCTATTCCAGCTTTGCAAATAAGAAATTTGATGTTCATGAAAGGTTTTAAACTCAGGGCTCTGGGCCCCACAGTCTGCATGGTGACTAACCTAAGTGCAGACAGATGTTAGATACGGTGACCAGCAACATCACAGAAAGCGGAGAACTTCCAGCTAAAGGCCCAGGATTCCTCTAAAGCTAGCAGAATGGCCTCATATGAGCCTCAGGCGTCATCACTTACATTTCTATTGGTTTTATTTTCCAATGTCAGACATTTTTGCACGTAATCATCTCACAGTTCTTCATCTGAAAACTCTTCAGGAAGAAATAATTTGCAGAAATGGAAGGTCCATCGGGCTCCTGATTTCTTCCAAAGCAATCTGTCAACTCTTTTAATTTAGTTACCACAGCGAATGCCCCACTCTCTGGATCCCTCCACAGTTCTAAATGGAATGAGACCTTTTCCCATAGAAATGACTGAGATTAATGGCCAGAGAAAATCAAAACAATGGCATTGAGTCCCATCATAATGCCGAATTACAAGGTTTATGAAATGGGAATAATGGGGAGCTCGACCTCTCATTGACTAAAACGTCAGGTCCAGCATAACATTCCATCCTCCACGGGGCAGCAGTAAAGCAATTCTTGCTGCACACGCGAATTATTTCAATGAAATGGCACCATCTTCCCAGTACTGTCTATTCAACCATTAAGTTAATTAACTCTTGAGACAATATCTCTCCTCTTACGTATCATTTCTGTATGCATCCTCTCATCTCACTCGTATAATACCCACATGTAGTAGATAAAGCAGGTATAATTATTATCACCTTTTGCAGATGAGGACACTGAGGCGGGGACAGTAATAGCTCCCCTGGGGGTCGACAGCTAATAGAGGCAGAGTAGAGCCTCGGAACTTGGTCTGTTTAGTTCCTATGCTCCCCCCACTACCCCTTTGAGACCTCCTACTAACACACCCTCATCAAGGGATACACCGACTGGAAGTTTCCACACTGATGACTCCTTTCTAAATGAGGGCCATCAAGGCATTTTTACTCAGGAGAAAGGCAGCGAGGATTCAGTGGGCATGCCTGCTGGGCCAGTGAGGCCGGTCCCTGGATTCCTCAAGCCTGCAGTGGAAAGTGCGCAGTTAGTCCCCAAGAATGGTGCCCTGGAGGAGCCAACGTCAAAAACGCAGAGAGCAGTGAGCAGCACACTGTGAACCGTGTGCGAGTTGTGTTCATTCCACGGACGTAACATGCACTGAAGTTTCCAGGTGGCTGAGTACTCTTTCTGAAGGTGTCGTCTCCACCAGCAGTGTAAATAGTAATAAAATTAGTAAGAATGATGATTCATCCTATTGGCCAATGTCACCTTTAATTCTCATACAAGTGCACAAAATATATGACTAGCTACATTTTACAGATGAGAGACTGATGTTAACAAGCAACTTGTGCAAGGCCATATTGCCATGAAGTTGAACAGCTAAGATTTGATGTTGGGTCATCTGATTTTAAATTATTTTTTTTATAATGCTTCTTTCAGATCTAGTTAATTCAGACAGTCTTGATAGTAATTCAGTTATTGAATATTTCAGCCTCCAAACTTCTCCTTTTCTCTTAAACCGTCTAGAGCTGGTGGTAAGGTATCCTATGGCCTTGGGCCAGTTTCAGCACGGTTACCTTTAGACTGATATTTTGGCTGAACTGAAGCTCAGAGAACATGCCAGCATTTTTTAAGTGAGGGAATTTTTGCCCCCTTCAAATTAACTCTTTAAAAATATTTTTATTGATTTGAGAGAGAGAGAGAAATGTCTATTTGTTGTCCCTGTTATTTATGAACTCATTGGTTGCCCTGACTGAGGACTGACCTTGCAGACTTGGTGTATAGGGACAATGCTCTAACCAAAGGTGGCCAGGGCCACCTTTCAATTGATTCTGTGGCCTAGGGTGTCCCCCAGGTCCTTCTGAACTCTATTGTTGTTGAACCAAATGGATTTCTTATGCATTTAGAGTAACTGATGTGCTCCTAAAAGAGAAGGGAACATGGGGGCATGTGATATCAATCCTCAACAAAAAGGACGCTCGGTGGGAGGAAGGGGAGAGGGTGGGATAGCCTAGGAGCCGGCGTCACTCAGCACACGCACAGGCTTCCCTGCCGCACTGCAGCCATCCCCCAGAGTGCTCTGCAGGACAGCCAACAAAGATACGGACTGTGCATGAGACGATGGACTCAGAGTAACAGCGTGACAGAGGCTATGCTCTTGGCACCTGTGTCTTTTTGAAGGATGTCCCGAACCCGCCACTGTGTGCATTCGTCAGGCACACGCTACTACCTGTAGCGTGTGATCCATTTAAGACTTCTCTGTGATATCTGAGCGGCCTCCTACAAAGACCCCGAACCCCCTGTCCTGAAAAAGGCCAGTAACCAATCCTGGCTTCCCCGGGTGGAGCATGTGGGGGATAAATAACATCAGCGGCTTGGCGCGTTCTCTCACCTAGTGCTTACACGAGGCCAGGAGGGCGAGCGCGAGGAGCCCCTGACCGCAGCGCGCTGGGTCGTCAGCATACATTTATGAAGCAGGTTCTGTACGTCTGGCTCTGTGCTGGGGGTGCTGCGGTGAGCAGTACCAATGCAGCCCCTGCCCTCCTGGAGTTTTTAGTGTTAGGGGAAAAGGAAAAGTGAGGAAGTGAGAAAGGAAGAGCAAAGAGGTTACAGAGGTTATCAATGAAACCTACTGGGGGCTGAGAGCAGGAAGAACAGAGGGTAGCCCGCTCTCAGCTTCCTCCTCTCCTGTCCTACCATCTCCTATGCCCTGAAAAGCACCCTCTCCCTCTCCCTGTCCTCTTTCACCACCCCCACCCCTGACCGCTCCCAGCGCCGCTGCCTATTTCGTAGTCCCCTGGTGGAACCCCGCGAGCAGCCCCTCCAGGCCCCGACCCCACCCGCTGCGCAACTGCCCCCGCGCGAGCCGGGCGCACCCGCCGCCCCTGCACCCCTGAGAGCGGGCTGGACGTCCACAATGGGAAATGAGGCCAGCTACCCCGCGGAGATGTGCTCCCAATTTAACCGTGACGAAATTAAAAGGTTGGGCAAGAGGTTTAAGAAGCTGGACTTGGACTCTTCGGGTGCCCTGAGTGTGGACGAGTTCATGTCCGTGCCCGAGCTGCAGAAGAACCCGTTGGTGCAGCGAGTGATCGAGGTTTTTGACACCGACGGCAACGGAGAGGTGAACTTCGAGGAATTCATCATGGGGACCTCCCAGTTCAGTGTCAAGGGAGACGAGGAGAAGAAGCTAAGGTTTGCTTTCAGCATCTACGACATGGATAAGGACGGCTACATTTCCAACGGGGAGCTCTTCCAGGTGCTACAGATGATGGTGGGGGACAACCTGAAAGACTGGAAGCTACAGCAGCTGGTGGACAAAACCATCATCACCCTGGACAGGGACGGCGATGGGAAAATATCCTTTGAGGAGTTCAGAGCTGCGGTGGCGGGTCTGGAGGTGCACAAGCAGCTGGTGGCAGCCGTGTGAGCTTTTCCGAGCTCCGCCCAACGCTGACTTTCCTTTCTCTGTCTCTTTCAAGATCAGCTCGAGATGCCCCACCACTGTATTTCTGGCTTATCCAGAAGTATTTCTCTTTGTAAAGCTGCATTTTCTGACACGAGCCTCGTGACCAACTGGTGTTAATTCTTCTCGCAGAGACTCGGGGTGTCACTTGAGGGAGCCTGGTGGGGACAGAGGAGGAGAGGGCTTTTATAAACGTCTTTTTCTTTGTTTCGATTCACAGACCAAACTAAAAAGAGCCAAGAAGAACTTTAAAAGCTCAAAAATGAGGAGATATCTTTGCCTTTCCTTCTCATTATTTTACATATGGGAAATCATTGTACAATTCAAACCCCATGTTAGGTTAACAGTTTTCTTTCACTTGTGGTGTTCGGGTATCTTTTGACAGATAGTTAATTTCCCGTTGTAGCAGTAGGAATGCATATTTTTCTCTTGCCTGAGCACCTTTGAATCGCCTCTCTCTGGGCAACAAAACCCATCTTTTCCTTTCCCAGGCTGCATCCCACTCCCCATAATGCATCTAGAAATCCCCGACCAGGTCTTGAGGGTTGGAAATCCAGTCAGGCCCCCCATGTTGCATTGCTCCAGCTCCCAGGCAGAAACAGGTCTCGGAGCTCGGGTGAAACACGCTAAGCCTGAAGTAAGCGCTGGCCTGCGCAGCTGTCAGCCTCAGTGGCAGTGGGTCTTCAAGGTTGGCTGTCCGCCCTGGTATGAAGTTCAGTAAAAGGGCTTCAGTCAAACAAGGCAGGAACCATTCTGGAAAGCTCTCTCACCTCCAATACTCAGCCCCATGCCAGCAGGTGAGGATGGGACAGGTTCGATGTTATTCTTCCCCGGGCTGAGGCAGTGAAGATTCTGGAGGCAGTGGGCTCTCCCCAGGATGCTGAAGTGCTGGTGGTCCTAGGAGGTCAAGGGTGCGTGGGCACATCCCTGCAGCAGAGGCAAATGCCGTCTGCACTAACTCTGCTTAGTTTTGAAAATCAGACCTGGGGCCTAGCAGGGAAGCTGAGAGCTCTCTCATCTCAGGAAGCCATTCCTCTAACACAACATTCATCCCAGAGTTTCTCACACCCTAATAAGCCTGCAGCCAAAGCATGTGAGGGAACTCTGGGCAAGGTTCACAGGGTGACGGCCAGTGGGTATGCATCTCTTCCTAGCTTCGAGGTCAATGGCATCATGTCCATAGCTGGAAATCATCCATGGTGGGAGTAGTACATCCTGGAAGACAGCAGAAACTTGTAGTTGGTTTGGTTTTGCTTGTTTTGGAGAGCAGTGCACCAGTAAGTACAGCGCCGCCTATACCCTCGACATGACCAGCTCTCTGAGGTCACGCTTCACCCCATCCCTGTTCGTCCCAGTGGACCACTCCCCATGGAAGGTGCCGAAGGCTCTATAACACAGGACAATGAAACATACCCTCCCTACACATTCTGAGCCAAGAGACAAAACTCAGGCAATTTTCCTCAGGACAAGGAAGGTCCATTTCGAAGATATCCTTATGTTTTAAAGAAGCTGGAAGGAAGTCTTAGCAGGAAAAATAAAAGTAGGAAAGATAATTCCACAGATTGAATTACTGTCAGGATAACCCATCCATCAAGGCATCCTGCCACACTTCTTATTTAATAGCTTACTTAGGAACCACAAAGAACAGGAGTCCTTGTCCCTTTAATTCCTGTGCAATCCTAAGAAAATACATTAACAATCATTAAATGCTCCCAACTCTGTAGTGATACATGAGTCATACCCCTACTGCAGGTAACATAGTTCTAAGACTCAGGCACACCTGGGTTTGGATTCAATATCAACTGGATTTTTATTACAGTCACTTCTTATTAGCTGTGTGAGCATGAGCAAGTTACTTAACCTCTCTGTGTCATTCCTCCTACATCCCAGGGTTGTTCTGAGGATTCAAAAACACAAAACATGTTAAAATAAAAGAGAAAGAGATATAAAGTGCTTGGAGCACAGTAGGTTCATTCTACTGATTTCCTTCCCTTCCCCCCTCCCTCTACTTCTATTAGATCCACACGTAAGGGGGACAGGAAGTGTATTGATTCCTTTAGAACCCTGACTTAGTACTTAGCCACACCCATTCTGTATTTAACTGGACATTTGTGTCATCCTAATCCAGAAAGAAAACAATGTCAAGGTCCTCCTACCTCCTCATTTGCAAAAGAGATGGCAGAATTCTCAATTGGAGAAAGTTTAAAGGAGAGAGGCTCTCTCATTCTAGCTCAACCCTTTTGACTTTATGGAGGAAACTGCATGAGGAAAGTGAGCATGCATAGCCAGATGACCCCCCCAAAAGAGACATTATTTATATATTCTGTAATGTGCACAGTAAAATGTGGAAAATTTATAATTATGGCCGAGGGTTTGAAACATGTGGGATTACGTAGTCGAGTTTAACAAGCAGAAGGAAACTATTTCCACTCTAGAGTGGTTAGAATTAAGCCAACTCCTCAATCAGTCTACTTAGTATAGTTACCCTAGGCTTTGGGGCAATAACCTTGAACCGAGAGCCTGTTTCTTGCTTCAGTAACAGGAAAGATCTGATTTATATGGCTTTGGGGGAAGAAAGATCATATTTACTTCCAAGTTAGAATGCTTTGATCTTTCTCTCTGTTACGGGTTGCCAGCAAATACAGTTCTGTACAATTTGGGGTGAGATAAATAGCGGACAGTTATTGAACGACTGTCCCAGATGCTGTTACATTTGTTGTATTATTTAATCATTATAATAGCTCTGTGAAGTGGGTGCCATCATCTCAGTTTTACAGACGATTCTGCAGAGAGATCTAGAAACTTCTCCCAGGTTTCCCTGCTGGTTAGTGGCAAAGCAAGGACTTGAACCAGCCTCTCTGACCCCAGACGCTGAGCTTTTCCCGCCTCACTGTATTGTCTCCTATTTTTGTGGTTCCTACATTTACCTGCCTCAAATTATTCTGATAGTCTTGTTCATGTAATCAAACCAAGCCTCACTTCTCACATAAGAGGTGAATTGCTTGCCAACCCTGCCTCTTCAGTTCTGTGTATTACAAAAACCACACACGTATTCGGCAAGGCAGTCTTAAATCATCTTCCACCTTCATCTCATCTTGAAAAATATTGACAGTATTTAGATTAAACTGATACCAGCAACCAATGTCCGCTGAGGCTATGGAGATCAGAAACAATATGTTCTTATGAATCCTGTATTAACCGATTGTGTCTGTTCTCTACCATATGTTGCAATCCCCAAGCACTAGGCCCTTCATCCTTTGAAACATAGGAAAGAATATATGAAACTAGAACAGCTGGTTTATCCTCTAAGTCTATGATACTTTAGAAGAATTCTCAAGGAAATGTCTCCCAGGAATTTTTTTTTAATTATAAATTCCATTCTTCACTTATGCTATTGATTCTCTCTGTTAGAATGTCGAGTAGATAGTTATTTCTGACTACCCCGTTTTATCTATTTAGCATGACTTGAAAAGGTGAGGTTTTTTTAATGTTTTATTTATTTTTAGAGAGGGGGGAGGGAAGGGGAAAGAGAGGGAGAGAAACATCAATGTGTGGCTGTCTCTCAAGCACCCCCCACCAGGGACCCGGCCCACAACCCAGGCACATGCCCTGACTGGGAATCGAACCAGTGACCCTCTGCTTCATAGGCTGGCACTCAATCCCCTGAGCCACACCAGCCAATGCAGGAGAAGTGTTTTAAGATAAGCTGGCATCATATAGAAAAGTCAGCCCACTAGCCTGAGAATCAGAACTGGACCCCTCTGCATTCATATTGGAACCATAACTATCCTGGTGGCCAGAGACTGTGTGAATAGCAGCAAATCATGTGTCAGCTGTAAAGGCAATAGCTGGATCGTAACAAAAAACCATAACAGTGAAAGGACACAGCCATAAAGCTGTGTGGATCAAAGGATAGCATCTGACAGCTCAGAGGCTAACCCTGACCCAGAAAGAAATTGTTTTGTTGCTAGTTTTACAAAGTGTTTGTTCTCACAATTTTTTATTTGCCAATATTTATAAAATTTGAAGACTTTTTAGAAATAAAAATCAAAATTAGCATACAGAAACTGAGGCCAAACCAGGATGGGGTGGCCTTTTATTGGCTCAAGTACCTCTGAAGCATGGGCTGAAATGAAGTCGCAATGAAGAGAAACTAATGCGTCCCATTCTTCAGTACAAAAGCTTAAAATGGATTGAAGTCTTCGTTGTTTTTCAAGAATAAAACAACTGGTCATAAAACATTAATTCCACCAAATGATATTTTTTAACAACTGCAATAACCAAAGAGTTTACAACAACAGAAGCACAGCTGTGTAAAATTTCAAACCTCTGTATAATAAAATCTAACAAAACAGAGCTAACAAGAAAACTTACAAATGGAGAAACATAACATGTTAGGAATGGGGTTAAGAGCTTTTTTCCAACTTTTCTGAAATGCATAATTGAGCAATGGATATAAATATATATGATTCATACAAAAGGAGATTGGGAAAACAAACATTCAAAACTAGCCTCACTAATTGGGTAAGAACAAACGAGAATATTTAAAACAGGAAACAAAAATTAATTATAAAGCATGGTTGTTGAGGATGTGAGCATCAAAAGGAGATCAGGAAAACAAACATTTAAAACTAGCCCCACTAATTGGGTAAGTACAAATGAGAATATTTAAAGCAGGAAACAAGGACTAATTATAAAGCAGGACTGTTGAGGATGTGAGCATGGGGGGCGGGGGGGCAACTCTGGCGGCAGCCGGATGGTTGTCGCACTTTCCAGGGGCTGTTTCCCACACCACCACGTGTCAAAACAGTGACATCGTCTGACCTGCTAATCCCACCCATTGCAATAGAGATCTCAAAGAAAGAATCAAATATAATCATCTAAAAATGCTGTACACAGAAGATTTTTGACTGCAGCAATATTGATCACATATACAGATAAACAGTATGATAGAAAATTAGACA